GCGGTGAGGGAGTACCCCCAAGCGCGCAGCCGCGCTGGCATTCGTCTGGAGTCCCGAAGCCCCGCCTTTCTACCCTGCGCCAGCGTACTGAGCTAAAAGGGCGGGACCCGAGGCTTTGCGCAGGCGCCTGGAGAAGCTCGCAAAGGGTCATGGCGCAGCCGCAAAAGCCTGGGCACTCTTCATCTATTGGTGTTTGTAGATCTAGAGGACTCCTTTCGTGCGCAGGCGTGTTGGGTCGACTCCCGCGCAGGCGTATTGACACCTGTAGGCTCTCAAAAGAAAGCTGCTTCTTTCGCCATTTTGGTAATGGGATAGGACTACTAAACTCTTGGAGTTCCCAGCACGAGCAGGAATGAGCAAGGCGTGGTGTTGGACGGAGCTGGTAGGCTGTCGATATAAGCAGTATTCATAAGGATGTTGTACTGGGCCATTTGGTTCAGCATTAGGTGTGGCCGGGCGAGACCGCCATATTGGTAAAGAGAAAAGCAATTGCGGGGTGGGGGGCTCGACGCTTTCGGTGGCGGGTAGAGGGGCTGCTGGGTTCCCACTTTCCTCCTGATCCCAAGAGTTAACTTTAACCGGAACATCTCTGCCTTGAGTGGTGATGGCACTGTGCAAAGTTCTGCCTACCCATTATTACCCTCTCGACCATTGTCCCTGCGAACTGCTCTTCAAAACCCAAAGGCCGAGACTCCGTAATCTTGACAACGCCCAGCTACCTGCCTACATTGAACTCCAACTCCCAGTTTGCAATGCGTGAAGGGTTCAAAGGGCGAACGGAAGCATATAGCTTGTTGGGAACAAGAATCGCAACGGGTCTGATGGATTGTGGGAGTCATAGTTCCGTGGGCTTGCGACGCAACGTATGATAGGCTAGACTAAGAGTAATGCCGGAAAGGGATACTTAAGCTGCCACCAAGCATATTGGGATTTGTAGTCTAAGGCTTTCACCTCGCATTCTGGGCGGGGATTCATGTTTCGGGATCCCCTCAGATACTGCTCAGACTGTGGATGAAGCAGTGGAGGAGAAAACTGCATGGTTGTGCCTGGTTCTAGGGATTTAATTGACATTGTTTATGTGTATCTGACCTGTTCACTTTTAATGTTATATCACATCGCATTCTCAGAGTTGTGGAAGAGACCATCCGATTTAATCTCTTCATTTCTAGATGCAGAGAAGAACAATGGTTTGCCTAAGTCACATAGTGAATTTAAAGCAGATCTAAGAATGAAACAGATTTCTTGATTCACCAGCTAGTTATTGTCTACTGACCGAGGAATGGTTGCTTTTCCTTCTTTTTGGACAAAACGGAGGATACATTAGGTAGGGTAGCATAGGGATGCCAGTGTGTGTGAACTTGGCCTGTTTTTCTTTTTTTGATGACCCTGTTGGCCCCAGTAGACTGTAGTCAGTTATAAGCTAGAAGTGTGACCTTCAGAGAGGGAAGGACTGAGCTAGATTACTTGTGTGGAAGAGGCCAGAGCTTATCCCTCCTGGGGCTGTACTTCATGCCACAGGCCCTCAGAAGTTGTAACTTCCTGTGCCCTTTCTCACTGGCTTTCTTCCTACTGCTCAGAGGTCAGCTGTGCTGCTGTGTCAGCCTGAAGGCATTATGGAGCGGAGAAGGAAGTCACTGGCACATAGCAAAGCTTAGCTTTGATCAACACCATCAGTTAGAGCTGAGAACAGGAGCAGGGGGCTAGTGATAGAAATATGACTAGGCCGTGTTGACAAATGCCCTAGGAGCTAATCACGACACAAACCTTTCTGTTCCGAGCTTGGAGGGTGAGGTCAGCTCAGTGAGGGGGCAGGAATTGGTGCCACCTTGGAGAGCTCCAGCCCCGAATGTTCAGGAAGAATTGGGGAGAGCAGGTGGCTTACAGATGCCTTCGGAAGCGACCTCTTGTGGCTTATTTAGGCACTATGCTGTGCAGGAACAGGAGCGTCTGTCCTTCAGAGTGGCATGTGTTAGAGCCAGAGGTTGGATACGACTTGGGGTTAATACCTCTCAGCTTCTTCTAGAAGCAGAGGTGCTAATTGCTACTAATCTTTGTTTCTTTTTTGATATTTTAAAATTTTATTATTTATTTATTTATTTTAGACAGAGTCTCATAAGTTACCCAGGCTTGTGTCCAGTTTGCAAGCCTACTTCCTCTGCCTCCTGATCAAGGTTGCAGCCGTACACCACCATGCACAGTTTAGTGCTCTTAATTTTTATCAGGGATTTTTGTCATCTGGCTTCTGAGTTCCCATAACTCCGTTTCCTGCCTTCTGCTCTTTCTCTGGGTACACCTCTAAACATGGATTGTGTATGTTCTGGGCAGATACTTTCATCTTAGGAGGCTCTGGAGAGTCATAGGGAAGGGCCAGACTTAAGTAGATCCTGCATGGGCACCTCTTGCCAGAGCCCGAAGAAACTTAAGCGCCAAACCCTTAAGCTGCATTGCCCTGAAGAAGAAAAGGAGAGAAGCGGCAGGTTTCCTGGACCTTGTCAGCAGTCCAGTGGCATTGAGAAGGGGCTTGGTAGTGTGCCAGCCTGAGTTCTAGACCTGCCAAAGAGGAGAGGAGGCATTGGGGTGCATGAAGAGTTGGGTTCCTGGGTTCCCACACCCCTATGGCATGATCCATTGGGGCCTCTGTTGCACTGACCTTTTGGGACAGTGGTTCCTGTTCAAGAGCCTGTAACTGGTTTTTAAATAAAATCTAAGGATGATTGATTGGTTCCACATGCTTTCTGGTCCTGAGATCTATATCCCACTTATTTACCACCTCCCTTCCTTCCAAGAAAGCACCATCCACTTGGAAATTGCTTGATTTTTTTTTTCAAAAACACCATTTTAATAAGGAAACAACAGAAATAAAAGATCATTCTCTGGCTGGAGCCCAGACCCCATATAGTACATTATAGGTACAAAGTGGCCTTCAGCCAGCCCTGGGGCTCTCTTCATTGTTCCATGCCAAATTCCTGGGTCTTTGGACCTCTGTTCCTCTCCAGAATATACCTACCTATTCCCCTTATGCATAACATAGTGGCAGGAGGAGGGACTAGAGGGAAAGGGAGTGTTTGTAAGAGCCAGATACACATCAGGGGAAGGGCTCCCTCCAGGGTTTAGGGCTGCCAGGGAGCAGTGGGGCATCCTGCTTTGGTGTGGAGCATGTGTACCCAGTGAAGCCCAATCTGAGTTTGCGGTAGAGTCTCTGAGCCCCTTTAGGGTCTCTTAGAATTACTGCCTCCACCAGGATGGAGCAGGATGCAGAAATGTCCATTTCTGGAGCTTTAGAGAACCCTAGGGGCTGATGTTGGCATGCCAGGACTGCCCAGAGGTCACCACTGAGAGCAGTTTTGGCCACTTGTGATGGCCCTGTGAGGAGCACCCTGGTGCAGTTTCTGCCACCACCCACCTGGCTGGAGAGTCCTGCATGCCAGGGGTGGATAGTGGCCATATGGAGAAAAGTGCTTCTGCTCTGTCTATGACTTCCAGGCAGGAGGGTCAGGAGGATACTGGCTGTTGATGACGTGCTCCAGCTGTGTTCTACTCAGTCAGGTACCCCCTGACTAGGGCCCAAGGATGGGCCCTAAGTGGGCAGTGGTACCAAGAAAATAGGCCATGATGGGCACTGCAGGCAGGGATGGGCACAACTTCATGAGGGATTGGTGGCATCTCTTCCCAGGTGGTATGTAAAAGAGATGAAGGGACAGCAGAAAGCCAGAAGCCCTGCTGCTGGACCATGAGGCTGGCCTGAGTGAGCTTCCCCAGGCTACCCCCACCTAGATGGAGACTTCATATTCTCTCATCTCCTGCAAAGGAAAGAGACTGCTGGGAGTTGGAAACTTGTATAAGATTTGCCAGGTCCCAGTCCACCTTCCCAAGTAAAAGGGAAAAAGAGAGGCTTTGGTGGGACCCTCAGGAGTATCATCTGCCCAAGGAAGCAGGGAGCTGAGTCCTGGATAGGATGTCAAGGCTGGCATAAGTACTTACTCCAGTCTCATAAGTTGGATTGTCAAATGCTGACTCCACGGTGATGCGGTTGTATGGACGAGGACGTGTTTGGGGCAGCTGCAGAGGGCTTTTTCCTTGGAGCCTGTGGGGCAGAGAAGCTTGTAAGTCAGGAGTGCAGGGCAGGAGTGAGGTATGCAGAATAGGAAGAGAGGCCAGACTTACCTGGAGAAGTAGAGGTACACACCTCCCACTAACAGCACCATTGCTACTAGTGGCAGGAAGATGGCAGCTGCAATGTGGGCAGCATCCAGGGTACTGGAGGTAGCAGGTGCCTTGGCGACTAAAAATACAGAGGCTGGGATTGGAGCAGAGATCTTGTCATCTAAAGCCCACTTCCCTTCACCTGTGCCCAAGGGCAGCCAGATACCAGTTTCCTTTAGCTGGCTGGAGTTAGAGAAGGAGCTTTTGCCCTGGTAGACCCAGATCTCTTTCTTTGCCTTCCATCTGCCATGAGAACCCATGGCTTGGAAGTTGTGAGAACCAGGTACCAGGGAGACCACTTCTCTAGTCTCAAGGGCAAGAACTCACCATCCAGGCTACGGCCGTTGTAGAACCCATCCAGAGAGGCTGGAACAAGAGGGGAGGGCCAAGGACAGTGGGTGAGCCCAGGGGGCCAAACCACTTATTCAAGGGACAGAGGTAGTGGGCTGATCGTGGGAAGGGTCTGTCCAAGGAGAACCTACTCCAGCGTTTGTCTTGATGATGCCAGGTCAGAGACTGGGAAGACTGATGGTAACATGAAGGGGATATGGAGATGGTTCTGGTTCTCAATACTGGACGTCTTTGCTAGAGCAGCCCACCAGGGTTGGGGGGTAACAGAGCACTCACCAGCCCTACAGATGGGTGGAGGGTCACTCCAGTGTGAAGGGTGCCCAGGTACACATTTGATGCTGGCCTGGCCTTTCAGCACATAGCCAGGTGCACATGAGAAGTGGACAGTGGCCCCTGCTGGGTGTAGCCGCTTCTCAGGACTTCGAGCACCATTCTTGGGGGCACTGAGGCCATGGCATGGCTTGAGCTGTTCCACTGTGAAGGAGGCAGAGTCCAGTGAGGATGCCAGGCTGCTGGGCCAGCATCTTTTATCCTCCCTGCCTATCCATCTGATACTTACAAAGACATTTGGGAGCCCGGTCACTCCATTTGGGGCTGCCAGCCTGGCAGTCATGGCAGGTGAGGATGGCACTGCCCGTCAGCACAAAACCCTGATCACAGATATACTGCACGGTTGCTCCCACAGGAAACCTGGGGCTGGATATGAGGCGTCGGCTGTGCTCTACGTCCCCAGGGTCATGACAGGAAGTCACTAAGGGTAGGCAACGGTGAACAGAAGTAACTCAAGGACTGAGCAAGGGCCAGTCCACCCTTGTTTTGTTCCAGGCCAGCTAACAGCTTATCCTCCGAATACAGTGTTTCTATCATTTTCCTGGTGTCTCCCCTCCCATTTATTAGAGTTAACAAACCCATTGTCCCTTTCCCATTCATTAGGGTCAAATTGATTGACTATCAACCAGAAACAAAATACTTGGAGTACTTGACTGATAATGCTATGAAAAGACATCATCTCCATTTAATGGCTGAGGAAACAGACTAAAAGAGGTAAAAGAATTTCAAGGATACCACTAACACATTGAGGACAGCTCACTGGATTCTCTCAGAACCCTGTAATGATGCACGGAGATTGTGTTGGGCTGGGGAACTTGGGGAACAGGTACTTACCCCTCTGGCATGAAGGCAGATCCTCACTCCAGCTTAGGTCCCACTGGCACATGAGAACACTGGATCCTACCACCTGGTACCCAGGGTAACACTGGTAAGTGACTACAGTGCCGTGCACCAGCTCAGGCTGTGATGGATTCTTCCAGCCATTGGGGATTTCGGGCAGCTCTGGACATGTGTCATTGCGGGGCACCTCTGTGGGCACAGAGGTGGCAAGATGCAATCTGGGCTAATTCCAAAGTGATTGTGATAGCTCTTTCACCCTGAGGGCACCCTGCCATGTTGTCCTAGGCTCAGACTGGCCTGGGTGGGCTCAGAGATTCATTCCTCCCTAGTCAAGGGCATCTCCTTGTCCCAGCATCTCTGTCTCCTAGATTCCGGGGTTAGCATTTGGGCTTTGGCTTTACTTCCAAAATATCTTGGCAAGTTCCTTAGATCTGAGAGACGGGACCAGGTCGGGTGAGGGAAATGATCACTTCTACTAAAGAGTGTCAGGTAGAAACCAAAATGTTTCCTTAGTTCCCTATTTTCATTAGGAGGCTCTGCTGCTGCTTCTCCAAATCTCATGCTGCAACACAAGGCTCCTTTTCTCTGGCGATACCTGGAGCCTTTCCAGCTTTTTCTTGTTAGAAAGAGCACTCCAGCTCCTTACTGCCCTGGCCTCTTTGACTTGCCATGGATTGGGGTCTGCATTCTGAGTGAGGCAGGGTCAAGCTCACCAAAGAAGTGGATGACAAATCCTTGCTGGTAACCCAGCACTGAAGTCCCAGGGTCCGACTGGAACTGGATGGTGACATCAGCCATGGAGGTAAAGAGCTTGAAGTGTCCACGTGGCCCTGAGTACTGGCCCAGGACCCGGGCTGTCAGGTCATCCCCATCATAGAAGGTAAGTACATCACCAGGGCCTATGCGCAGCCTGTGGAGGAGGACTGTCAGGAGAGGGCAGGCCCCAGGATGGGCTGCACAAGAGATGTGATCAGATCTCAAGAGTTGGCTTGGCCTGACCCAAGAGTCACTCACACTCGGATGTCCAGCATGATGCGCTTGTCCTCTTCCACATGCACACCCCAGATGCAGTCCTGTCCTCGGCCATAGGGCTCTGGCCAGTTCGGGGAGAGGACTACGCCAGCCGAGTCTGTGATCTCCCCACTGCACACAGCTGGAAGGCAGAAGAGGCCTGGGAGGCATGTCTCCTCTGTTCCCTCCAGTGCCACATCCTGGGGCTGCCACCTGCCTGTAGGAGTGCCCACCTATTGCTGGAAACCCCCACCCCCTCCTCAGGGTGAAGGCTGAGTCACAAATGTCACAGGGCCCCTGTGACCCCAGGCTCTGCAGCTGACTTTCTGGTGCCCACCCCACTTACTACCCCAGCAAGCTTACCCACTGGTGTCTACTGACCTCGGCAGGCTGGCTCTGTCTCATTCCACTGTGGGTCGTGGGGGTCAATGCACTCAATGATGATAGAGCCCTGCTCCAGGGTATAGCCAGGGTCACAGCTGAACTCCACAGTGGTACCCACAGGGTATGAGGGTGCGCTGCTGCTGAAGTTGCCATATTTGACAAAGGGCTCATAGCAGTGGCCCTGCTGGAAGGCTGTAAACCACAGGGCCCATCCTGGCTTAACCTCGACTGGGATAAATACAGAGAGCAGGCATCCTGCTTCCCCCTCTCAAGGGCCTTTCTCTTCTGAGTACAAACATGTCAAAGGCTTAGAGCCGAAGGTGGAGGAAAATAGCCTCAGGCATCCATTCCTGTTATGCTCAGGAGACCATCTTTTTTTTTTTTTTTTTGAGACAGGGTCTCACTATGTAGTTGAGACTGACCTGGAACTCACTATGTAGCCCAGGCTGGTCTTGAACTCACAGCGATCCTCCTGTCTCAGCCTCCCAAGTGCTGGGATGACAGGTGTGCACCACACGTGGCAGGAGACCATCTTAATCACTTGTATTCCCATTACCTAGTTTTATGCTTAGTTCAAGAGGCCTCAGTAAATTAAATTTTTTTTTGAGGGGGCGGTGAATGAATATAAGCATGCATGGGTCTAGAGTATGCCTTAAAACCATTCCTTCTCAAGTATTGGGGTCTTTTTTGCTTTGAAAACCTGGAGAATTAATTCTCTTGGACCAGAGAGCCTGGATCTAGGCAAGGTTCTCCAGCAAGGATGGGGTTCTGGTCCTGGGTGGAGGGGCAGGGAACAGAGGCCAACTTGGACTGATGGAATGGAGGCACACACGAGGAAGGTGTAGGAGAAAGACCATAGCCCCCTGCTCCCCATCACGCTCCAGAAGGCTCACCCTCATAGCGCAGGGCCATGCCGGCAGCTGCCCCGCTGCTATCTGTACTGAGTTCCACAAAGAAGTGTCTGCCAGAGCTGAGCAAGCCCTCGATGGGCAGGTATTCCACCTCATAGGAATCATACACAGGTGGGGCCTCCACGTTGTCCCCATTGCGAATGATAAGCCTGGGCCAGGAGAATGGTAGCTTTGTGGCTGGCTGCTGACCCAGGTGGGTATGGCCCCAGGTTTGGGGAGAATCCCTGCAGCAGGATATTACCAGGTCAGGCACTCCCATCCCATCAGGATAGCCCCTCACCTGTCATCATCCTCTGCCAGAGCAACCTTCTCAAAGTGCAGGTGCAGCCTCTGACTCTCAGAAGCCTCAAGCAGCCAGTGGCAGGTGAGGTTGTTGCTATAGTTGCCCGGGTAGCCCGGAGAGACAATGCGGCCAGTTGTGGCATTTCGGATCACACCACCACAGGCAGCTGTGAGATGGAAATGCACTTAGGCTAGGCCCCTGACTGCATCCTAGGCAAACCTTCCTCCCATCCCAACCTTGTACCCTTTGTGTGGGGCAGCAGGGACTTTTGCCTCCTTGCCAACTTTGTTGTCATGGTCCTGAAGGTCAATCTTTTAGCCCCATGATTCTGTAGCTCAAAGCAGCCTGGACCCCAGCACTGTACCTCCTAACTGTTCACATACCTGAGACTTCATGTGCAACTTTTTTTTTATATACTGTAAGTAGGCTTGTCACTGCCTAGCTCCATGGCCTAGGCTAAGCTACTTTCCTTCTCTGATGAAGCTTCTCCCCAGGAGGCCTTCCCTTGCTCCTTCCAGGCATGTTTTATTAAGGTCCTTCCTCTAGATTCCAGTCTCCTTGGATATTTCTATCTTTGCTTCATGCCACTTTCTAAAACCATTTATTTGGCTTGCTTGGCATATGTGAGGCCCTGGGTCTGATCCCCAACCTTACAATACTGTTCCAATAGCATACTATTATTTATTTGAGTCTGTCCCTTAAATAGGGCCCTCTTGCGCAGGGACCAGGACTTTGCAATCTAGGCACAGAGTTGGTGTTCAGTGTTGGATGAGTAAAATAAGTGAATGGATTTTAAAAGGGGGGGAGGGCTAAGTCAGGGATGACAAATACCGGATGTGCCTGCCATCCACCCCAACGCTTTGTGCTCTTGGCAGACACTGGGAGCCACAGATGGCCTCTGACTCTTCCTGAAATAGCTCTCCAGGCATCACTACACTCATTCCTGAGCTGATCCCTGAAGACCTTGCCAGATTGACTCCACTGGCCTGGGACTGTCCTCTCTTCCCAAGAAGAGACTGAGCTGCTTGCCTGGACCTAGCAGTGAGGGTTACTGTATTACTTGGCCATAAGCTCCTGCTAGTTAAATGTGGCCAGAGAAGGGGCCTGAGGCAGGAAGTAGCTGGTTACAGGCAGTGCTTTCCTCTCCCAATTTCAAGACCAGGCTACCTACCAATTCTTGGTACCATTGCCTCCACATACTCCAGACAGCAGAATATTGTAACCTATCAATGTTCCTGGGGGATAGGGTAAGTCTCGGCTTTTCTGTAGAGGGAAGAACCACTTTTTTGCTTGGTCTCACCATGAAACTACTCTTCAAATGTGGCCACACTGCATCCTTGGTTTAAAATCCCTCAGTGGCTCCCTATTGCCCTCAGAGTATGGTCCAAGCTCAAAATGGCATTTAAACCCTTTGTGAATCCAACTCTTGGCACAATTTCAGTCTCAGCCTGTATACCATCTTCAGACACACCTTGCTATGTCCTCACTGTGTCATGTATTTTGTGCCTACACACCCTCATACATGCTGTTCCAAGAATTTACTCCACTTTTCCCGGACATTTCTGGAAGCCTTCTTTGCCTCCTTCCTCAGATTTGAACCACTCTTTCTGGCCTGGATTCCCACTACACCCTCAGGTTACCCTTGGTCAGCATTGTCTACACTGAGCTGTCTACTCTTCCCAATAGACAGCTCCTGAAGGCAGAGAACATTTGTCTTATTCATCTCTAATTATAACTGGCACCAGGAAGAGCATATAGGATGAAACAAGGTTCAAACCCCAAGCTGCTCCCCCACAAAGCCCAAGTTGCCTGTCATACCACAGACCACACATTCTGTCTTCCTTTCCCCAGCAAAGCACCCTTCTGTTAATCTCAGACCTCATCATCATTCAGGACTAGAACCTGGGGATTCCGCCATCCCCTCATCAGTGTCTCTGGAACCTCTTCCCTTTTCTCCATGCTCAAAGTCATTGTCTAAATTCAAACCCTCTGTCCTGAATGGCCTGTCAGCCTGGCTACCACTTCCCTGGCTCTCCCGAAGGGCAGTTCTGAGTTCTTCCCCCTTCCTCTCAAAAACCAGCTTGGCCTGACAGTAAGGCCCTCCCACTGCCCTCTAAACACCTCTTCTCCCTGCCCCTAACTCACTTCCCTTCATCAAAATGTCAAACTTCAGTGCCACCTTTCCTAGGAAGCTTCCTCACTACCCAGCTAAGAATGATTGCTTCTTTCCCTTCATGGTCACTTTATGTCTTTTCATTGGTACCTTTTGATTCCTGCCGTGAAAACTGGTGACTTATGTGCCTTCTTTGCCCCCCATTCCTGGAACTGTGAGGTCTTTGAAGGCAGATTTCCTGCCTAATTCAGCTTTGTATGCTTGTGGTACCTTCATATAGTAGGTGCTCAATAAGTTCAGGTTGGATGAATGCCATACCATGTGCGATCATACTCTTTTTTTTTTTTTTGAGGCAGGGTCTCACTATGTAGTTGAGAATGACCTGGAACTCACTATGTAGCCCAGGCTGGTCTCAAACTCAGAGATCCTCCTGCCTCAGCCTCCTGAGTGCTGGGATTACAGGCATGCACCACCATGCCTGACTTGTGATCATATTCTGATTCTTTGTAGAGACCAAATACAAGTACCAGATAGCAACGGAGAGCAGGGACAAGTCCCCATTTAGCTGCTTTGCTCAGCACTGAGCCCTCTCCCCTGGGGTCACTCACCGATACAGACAGGCTCCTGAGAATCCCAGAAGGGCTGGGTGGCATTGAGACAAGTAAGGAGCCTGGCACCCTTAAGCTGGTAGCCAGTGGCACAGTGGAAGTGGGCATTGCCTCCTGGGTGGAGGCTGGTGACAGTCACATCTCCATAGGCTGGTCGTCGGGGAAAGTGACAGCTCAGGAGGTAGGCTGTAAAGAGAAAATGAGTGATTGTGTGTGTGTGTGTGTGTGTGTGTGTGTGTGAAAGCCTGTGCCAATCTGCCTCAGCCTGCCTGGAGGCATCACTTGGGACAAGAGGAAGAAGCATTAGGAATTCCGGAAAATACCCCCAAATCTCCTCCCTAGAAAGCACCACTGATATTTCCAGCAGGTTGTATTGGTTAGTGGAACAAGCTCAGAGCAAAAAGTTGGGAAGCTTAGGATTTGGCCCAAGCTTTGTGACACTTAGGACAGGTTGTTTAACCTTTTGTGTCTGTTTCTTCATTTGTTAAATGAGGTCCACAATGCTAGTCTACATACAGGATTAATACGAAACTAAATGCAATAATATCTTATTCAGCTTGGTTTCCCTGGCACACAGGTGAAAATATATCTTGAAGAAGTATCTATGGAATGACTAATAGATGGGAACGCATTTGAAATGGTGAAAAACCTATACTGATGAGAAGTGTGATATTATTTTTCTGTAGGAGACAAATATGAATTGCAGCACAAAAGACTGAAGTCAGACAGCAAACACTTTCCCAGTGTTCATTGAGAAATGTTAAAAAGCTTGATGGCAATGGTGTAGGATTTCTTTTGAAGACAGGATGGGGGTGAGGGTGGTGAGGCAGAGCCAGCCTTCATGGATGATGGGGATAGAACCAGTTGCCCTGGGAAACCTGGTAATTTGTGTGACTGTCATACCAAGCATGACCACATGGTGACAGCAAACCCTACAAAACAACCCGGCAAATCCCAACTCTGGGACCAAGTGAGGCAAGGTAGCTAAAAATTGGCCTGAAAGATGGGGAAGGAAAGGGTTGAAGAGAGAAGCTTAGAGGAGGCTTGAGCTATCCCTCTATGCTTTGGTGTAAATAGAAAAAGGGTCTGCCTCGAGACTAAGATCCTGAAGCTTGAGTTTTGTGGCCCAGTTTTGTAGCATCTCTGTCCTGTTCTTTTTTTTTTGCTTTGTGTTCTGGGATGGACCCCAGGGCCTTCACACTGAGCTACATCCCCAGCCCTTTTTTAAAATTTTGAGATAGGGTCTCACTGAGTTTCTAAGTTACCCAGACTGGGCTCAAACTTGGGATCCTCTTGCCTCTGCCTCTCAGGGTACTGAGACTGTAGACACTCTCCACCTGTCCTGTTCTTACTTAGTATGTCTGTAAAAGTAGGATGGTTCCTACTTCTTAGGAGGTAGGCTTTGGGGTCAGACTGCCGGGATTTGAAGATGGGCTCCCTTGCTTGCTGTACCACCTTGGGGAAGTTACCTCCCTTCTCTGGGCCTCAGTTTACATCGATTTACAGAATTGCACTCAGTGTTGTGAAGGTTATATTAGAAGACACACCTGCAGTGCAGTGCCTGGCACAAATGTCTAACACCCAGCCTGCTGTTACTGTTTGTAATGTTGAGTAATAATAGCACCTCACATCTGCAGCACTTTCCAGCTCCTAAAGTGCTTTCCCACTCTTCTTGACACAATACACTTGGGAGAAAGGAAGGCTAGATAGGAATTATTAACCCACTTTCAGACAAGGAAAACTGAGCTTCGGAGAGCCTCTCTGCCTTCATCACACTGCAAGTAAGTGGTGGGGCGGGACTTGGGCTCCTGGCTCTAGCAGGCACTTGCTTTCTATCCCCCAACTTCTGTTTCTCCAGTTAAAATAGAAATCTGGAATTAGGGGTTAAAGAACGCTGAGAGTGGTGGACAAAGCTGCCCTGGGAGTTTGTTCAGGGCACTCACAGTGACCTGGAGAGATTCCATGCCAGGGTGGAATAGGGGTGCTGAGCCCCAACTAGAGGGAGTTGAGGGGTGAAATGATAGAGAGGCGTAGGCCATGAGCCAGTTGTCAGTCAGGCTCAGCACCTGTATTTACACCTCCTTGAGTTCAATCACAGCTTGGAAAGTGAAGTCCTTATTTCTCAGGCAGGGCCAGGATGAGGCAGGAGCAGAAGGCTGGGGGCAGAAGACAAAGTCCCCCAGACTCCATAATGGGTAAAGTGCCTCTTCCTGGGATGAGCTTCCTCTTTATTGTCATGACAACCGTTCCCGGGGAGCTTGAACAGCCACAATCTGTCGAGTTATTTTCTTACTGGCGTCTGTTTTTGGAGCCAAGTCCAGTGCCAGGAATGCTCAGAATGGAGGAGGGGTGTGCCTTTCAGGTCCCTCTGCCTTCTTACCCTGTGGGGGCTGGAGGAGGGGAGTTGGAATTTGGTCCTGCCCTGATGTCCTTTTGGGGATCCATCCCAGGGGCCTCAAACATCAGCTTGGACTGCTTGCACGTGGAGCATGGATACTAGGCCTTTCACCCCCTCTTCTGGCACCCTCTTTCCTCAGCCCACGAGACGCTCGTGTGAGCACATGCTTCTCCTGTTCCCATCTCTGGGATCAGGGCTAATTGCAGCCTATAATTAGGGGAATTACACTCATTAAGGAAAGAGCTGATCATTGAAAAAAACTGGGCCGAGGACGCAGGAGGGCTTCTGGGAACCAAGCAGGAGCAGGACTGGGCCAGCTTTCCCAGCCCTTCCATGGGGTCTGTTCCCTCTTTCAGGGCCTTCAGCTCACTGCCTTTCAGCCACCCTTGTCTGGCCCACAGAAAGGGGTCCAAAGTTTTGTGCAAAGGAATTTGCAGCAAGAGAAAAGGTTACTGTGGCGTGAAATTATGCGGGCTGCCAGAGAGGATTGATGAGCCATTAGGGAGGCCAGCTGGGCAGCCTATGCGCTTGCCCCTGTCTCAGCTGGCCCTTTGCCTCTGCTGAACCCCTGTCCACCACTAGGCTCCCTGCTGCCTTGCGCGACTTCTTCCACAGTATGGGTGGAGAAGCCAGCCTGGGGCAAGCAGTGCTCCTTAGGTGGTGTTCAGAGCATACAAGTTTGAGTGCTTGCCTGCCTGCCAGTTGTTTCCCCCTGCAGGGCTGCAGAAGTTGTCTTTGACAATGCAATACAATCTCATGATTGCACACATCAATTATTTCCTTGTTAGCCCTTTCAATTCTGAACTGGTTAAAGTGCAAAAGATCAAGCTGATGATGTGCCCCGGGCGGGGGATGGGCAAGGAGGATACCAGTGGGGGAGCCGCAGAGTTCTGCTTTCCTCCTGTCTCCACTCTGCAAGCCTTGTTAACTCTGGCTTGCTCCCCCCACCACCTTCTTTCTTTTTTTCTTTCTCATTTTTTGAGACTGGGTGTTGCTGTGTAGTTTAGGCTGGTCTTGAACTCACTTGTAGCCCAGGCTGGCCTTGAACATGTAGCAATCCTCCTGCCCCAGACTCCTGAGTGCTGGGATTATATGTGTGTACCTCATGCCCAGCCAATACTAGTTTCTTTAATGAGGCATGTGACACACACCATTTTGTTTAATCCTAACTATGATTTTGTGGTAGATGCTTTGGTCTCATCTTCCAGCAAGAAAAGGAGAGTTGGAGAGGTCAAATGACCTATTCAAGGTCAACACAGGATCTTTGGGAGATTCAAACACAGATCTGCCCATCTCCTGAGTCTGTGATTTGCCCACTTCATCATATCACACCCCTCTTTCCACAGGTGTTCTGAGCCGACGAGTGCATGGACCAGGTCCTGAGTAGGTGAGGAAGGCTGGCAACTAAACACCTACAGATGGTCACTGTCAAGCCCCTTTGGCTTTGGCCCCCTTGCCTTTGGAGAGAGGATTTTATTGTTATTGCCTGTTTAAGTGTCTCCTCCTGAGATTCTGAACTCTTTGAAGGCAAAGATCTTGAGGGGCACATCATGATACTGACAAGGCCTAGCATAAGTGTGGCCGTTTATAAAAGTTTACTGAATGAATGTATGACAGTGATCCAAAGTCAAGAGTGGTTCTGTGGGTGGGTGGTAGAGATGGGAAGGTCCTGGAAGTGTCCAGTGAGTGATACTCAGCTCCACGTGTATAGATATTCACTGGGCACCTCTGCTGCATTATCTGCCCCTCCCTGTCCCCTGCCCTAGCTCACAGGTTATAACATCAGAGACCCTCAGGAGGGCAGTCAGTCGGGGCTAGTTCCTCTCTCAGCTGGCCGGGCCTTACCTTGGTAGTGGAAACGGAAGGTGCCAGGCCCAGCAGGTGGCGGGAGGCTCTGGAACCTCAGGGCTGCTTGGTGTGTGGTGCTGCGGATGACTTGGCCCCGGAGAAGGAAAGACTGGTTGGCCAGGGGCAATGGGTCAGGGACCCCAAGGCCCTCCACAGTGACTGTCTCTCCCTCCCGGAGGCTGATGTTCTGGACCTGCAGGTGGAGGAAGCAGAGCATTCAGACTTCCTGTTGTCAAAGCCCCACTGCCCTCTGGCTCCTACAGGCTCCATATGCCCAATCCTCGGTGCTTCTTGGGTATCAGAGCCCCCAACCCTGAGTTAGGCATCTCCTGCAGGAAGAGCTCATCCTACCCATTTTTTCTTTCTTTCTTTTTTTTGAAACAGGGTCTCTCTACATAGTTGAGACTGACCTGAAACTCACTATGTAACCCAGGCTGGTCTCGAACTCACATTGATCCTCCTGCCTCATCCTCTGAGTGCTAGGATTACAGGTGTGCACCACCACGCCTGGCTCATCCTACTTTTTCAATAATGCAAGATGGAATCTGAAGCTCAGAATAATTGAGTAAACTACTCAAGGTCACCCTGAGAACTGAGATTTGTAAGCACATCTTTGTCTCCCAAACATTTCAAATATACTAACTACCTCCTGTTGTCCTCTCCTCCCTGTCCCCTCTGCAGTTCAGTTTTCTCATCGTAAAGTAGGGATGGGGTAGATGTGTTAGGCTAAATAGTGTCTCAGGGCCTGGCCAGTGACATGACGTCCTAAGTATCTAACCCACTTCCCCCTGGACATTCCTGTTGGATGCCTCACAGTCTCCTCACACCCAGTTTGCCTCATGCTCAGCTACTCTCTTCCCGCAGCCAGCAGCTCCCCTGGCTCTTATCTCAGGGAATGATCTCCTAAGCAGCTGGGAACCCAAGTCAGAAACTGGCGTCTCGCCTCTCCCCTCATAGTACACATCCAAGCAGTCATTCACTCTTACAAGCAGACCTCGTCACCTACATTACTGTAGCGGGCTCCCGGTCAGCTTCCCTGCTAGAGGGCTTAACCCACGCCTCCCCCCCATCAATATGTTCTGAACTACAGCCAGTTAAGAGTCCCAGAACTGTTTCTCATCAGGTGCTTCTGGTTTAGATTCCCTAGTATTCCTCTGTTGAGTCCATGAAGCCTATAGTACTCGTCGAAATTCCTTGCCTGGGCCTCTAGGCCATGCCTGCCTGGCTCCTGCTGGCCATTCAGCTCGGCTTTTATACCAGTCCCTCCATGACTTAGCCATTGGTTCTATTTCCTCTCTTCTCTGTGTTTCTTGATTCAATTCTTTGTTCCGTTACAGGTCCCTCAGTCAGAAAACCCTGCTTTTCAGGCCCTCAATGCCTGAAGGATTCTTCTGGGCACCATGCCTCCATTCTGTCAAACAAGGACTGGACAATGACAGACACTGCCCAGAGAGGAACTGACATTGTAGCTTGGTAGATTGGGAACCTAGAGATCTGGGAGCTCACCCTAACCATGTGTTCCTGGAGAAGTATGCTAGTTATTTGAGCCTCTGTTTCCTCGTTTTATAAAATGGCCACATGTAGATCTTGGCTACTCTAAATCTGGTTCCTGGACCAGCAACATTGGCATCACCTCAGAGCTTGTGAGAAATGCAGAATCTCAGGGCTGGGGCTGAGCTCAGGGGTAGAGCACTTGCTCGGCATGCATGAGACCCTGTTGGATCCTCAGCACTACAGAAAACAAGAAAAAAAAAAAAAAGAAAGAGAAATAGAAAAGGAAGAGAAATGCAAAATCTCAGATCACATCCCACATTTACTAAGTTATATTCAGCATTTTAATAAGATACCCAGGCAGTTCCAAAGCACTGGTCTCCCTGGTCTAAGGTCCCTACCATATTGCTCTGTGGCAAGGGCTTTTAGTGTTAACAATCTAGGCATCGGGTGAGACACAAAATCCTTCCCAATCTTTTAGTTATTCCAAGTGGTTCTTCCTCCTTATCCCTTGGTCGCTTTCTTGGCTCTGATCACCTCTTGTCCACTGTCTCTCACCTGCAATGACTTTCTATTCATTTCCCATTCCTTCCTTCCTTCAATTCATCTACTGGCCTGGTTGCCTCACATCAGACTGTGCCTCTCTCCTCTCTCTTTCCACCCTGCTAGTTGCTTCAGGTTGTCCAGAAGACAAGGTCCCAACTTCCCAATTCACAGTGGGCTCCAGTGGCTTTTCCAGACTTCTTCCCCTCTGAACATTTGTACAGGGAAGCTTCCGTTTTCCTCCTTCTGGTGAAACTGGACATCCTTTCAGATCTCAGGACCACCATCCTGTGCTGCCCAGGCCAGACCAGTCAGTCCTTTCTCGTCAGGCTCTCACATCCATTCTCTATTTATCTGTTAAAACCTGGGTAGCATTTTGAGTCACAGCACCCTCTTTACTGGCCAGTTTCATTAAAGATGTCTGAAGACAGTGAATGTATGGGCTGCTGGAGGCATATTCCTCCCTAAGTCCCTGCAAGCTGAGAACATGATGCTGAACCTAGCCAGAGCCGAGGAGATCAGTCTTGCCAGACTCAGGGCCCCTCTTGGAAACAGATTCCAGATAGGGCAGCTTGGCAGGGAGAGGTCCCCACCCATTTGGAAGGAAAGACTTGGTAGGTTCTGGGGCTGAAGAAAAATCTTAAGGGAGGGTGCCAGGGGCAAGAAGCACCTTCTCTTGGGGATAGGCTCCCAGCCCGGGCACATTTGGGTGGAGGCTGCCTGACCATCTGCTGAGGATATTCCTCAGGGAATCCCTGCAGCAGGTGGAGGCTGGATGAGGTCCCTTCAAATGTGGAGATTCTGTGATTTTAGAATTGGGAAAACAAGACTCACACGTGGAATCTGTAATTATCGAGAGACGCTAGGCAGCATATAATTCTGCTTTAAGTGGCATTGAATGCATGAGGCAGAAATCCCCAAGGGGAGGAGGGGGGCTTGGAAGCTCAGGGAGTACATGGGCCAGGTGGGTCTCAGAGGCCTTGAAAAGAGGAGAGCTGGGAGGAGGAGGAAGGGAGGACATTCGTTGCAGGGAAATTACCTCTAAGGCCAAGGCAGAGAAGTAGAAATTAAATTAGTATTTTCTTTCTAGTTTCTCCTATACTTCCAGTTGGACCTGTAGCATCCTACTCCTGATCTTACTGCTTTGTTGTGATCAGAGGGCGGCATCAGCAGTAACAATTCACAGAGCACCTGAAATACGTCAGTCTTTTCCATGAGGTAGGTGGTAAAATACTCATAAATAAACAGAATCACTGAGAGACTAAGGAACCTGCAGAATGTCATACAGCTATTAAGAAGTAATTTTGCTGCTCTTTTAAGAACCAGTTTCAAGGCAATATTACCTGCATAAATAGATTTCTAGATATCTTTATTCCCAGTCTCTAGGCCCCTATGTTTAGTAGGTAGGCAGGTGTTGGCCTGGTTTGACTTGGCTTTTTCAGGATGTTGGGATTTGGGTTCTTAGGAGTCATCCTCTCCCCTAGCAGCTTGTTAATTGGGAGTTGAGACCTCTGGTCTCCTTCTGGTCTTGGGGAGGGACAGGACCCTTAAGGTGGCCTGGCTTCCAGCCCAGCCTAGTAGTAAGGGTTGGGATGAAGGTGAGGAATGGAGTAGCTCCCTGTTCACAGCTGGAGGCTGCCTGTGCAGCCCCGATCTTGTGGATTTCAAGCACCCACTTGTGGCCCTGCTGCAGTGGCTGGAAAGTAATTTGTCATTTGTTTGAGGGCCAAGCTGACAGGAGCCAGTCAGGGCTGGGTGTTGGACAAGGAGGAAGATGAGGACTTGATGCAATTTGCAGGCATCTGAAGAACCTGGGAGACAGATTGAAATGTCAGCTCTGTTCATGAGGGCTTTCTTCCCCTACCCCTTCCAGTGACAGGAAGGGCCCTGGGGGCCAGGCAGGGGGAGGCAGAAGCAGAGAGAGAGAGCTAGGGACAATTCCCATGGGTCCCTCTGCTGTCCAGTACTGCCTTGCTGCCAGCACACCTGAGGAGGCGTTCAAGGAGAAGCACGGCTGCTTTGAGGGGACTGGCCTCTTCTGGATGGGAAGAGGGGAGGATTTTGGTTGTCTCCTGCCAGTCCCCAGGTCATCAACCTTACCTAACCTGTCTGTCCCATGGAAGCTGCCAGTCAGGCCACCAGCACAGGTCCCAATGATGTGACCAACAGGCAGAATGGTGCAGGCAGTTGAATTAGTACAACCCTGCCCAGAGGAACTCAAGGGTGTCTGTGTCACACCCACCCAGCACCTGACTGCCACCCCCAGATGCTGGCCTCAGTTCTGCTTGCCTCCATCACCACCCCCATGTGTATACTCTGGCAGAGGCCCAGGCTGGGCAGCTGCCAGGAAACCGGGCCAAAGACCTGAGGTGCCACTGTGCAGTGGAGCTTACCAAGAGCTCCCTGAGCCCAAAGAAGGAACCACACTCTGAGAAACTGGATGGGAGGGGCCACAAACAGTATTTGGCTTAATCTCTTTTCATAGAGAAACTGAGGCCCAGAGAAGGCCAGGGCTTACCTCAGTCACTGAGAGGCTACTACAGAGCCAGGACTGGAACCAAATCTTACAATTTACACATGTGCCCTTATGAACAGGCACTTGTTCATAACACCTTGCAGGTAAGGTCTGTTTTAGGGACGAAATAGGGGCCTAAATTCATGGGCCCAGACCTAATACCTATCACTACTTCAAGTGGGCTTTTCTAAAGCCCTAATAGGAATTCATCCAGAAATCCACCCCCAACCCCACTCCTGATGCTCACATCAGGCCCTGAGGCCTGACCTGCTTTAGAAAGGCAGGGTGTTCTGACTATCAAACTGACAGCTGGCTGTCCCAAGAGAGCTGTGTGCCAAAGGGGCCACCTGGGCATGAGGGCAGGGATTGTAGGCAGCTGTGCCCAGGCTCCAGATGGTGCAGAAAGCAGCCAAGCCAAGATGGAGGTTGGCAGTGGGAAGGCTCTTGGAATGCCAAGTGCAGTGAGAGGCAGGCATCAGGTCCAGAAAGGCCTGGAGCCCTCACGGGAAGCCTGACTGCCTGGAGAGGGAATGGGACCCATGTGTGCCATGGGGCTCCTGTTCAACTATCCTGAAAGGGTTTTTCTGGACCTTTCAAGAAAGACTCTAACCCAGTGCCCAATCCCCAGTGAAGCAATTCTGCACCTTGAACAGTGGAGGGTCTGATCTGGCCTCCTCCCTGATGCCAGCTTGTACCCTCAGCTTGAGCTGGTACCAATAGGTGCAGCACCATGAAGGGAGGTGTGAGGCTAGGGAGGAAGCAGGTTCTGGAGGGCAGAGGTCCAAGGTAGGGAGAGCTGAGCTTTTAGGGATCCTGATAGCCCCGAAGCTGTTCCTCGATAAAAGAAATTGAGAAGGTTCCCCTCCACACACACCTCAACCTTTAGGCAGTGGCTGCAGTCACCTGACAGAGGGTTAGCCTGGCATTTGACTGACCTGCTCAAGGGTATGGACAGATCTTTTTTCTTTGATTCTATCCCCTACCTGCTCCCGTGATTCTATTTGGGGAACTCAGGGAGGACAGCTGGAGTTTACCCATGATAGAGAGAAGCCATGGCTAGCCCTTCTCCCCAAGCCTGAAGAGTGTTGAGCAGCACTCTAGGCCTTTCAGCTCCCCTATCCTGCCCCCAGTATGGCCTGGCTCAATTGCCAGCCTAGGCAGGAGGACACTGCTGCAGGGCCAAGCCTCAGGCAAGAGTATCAGCCTAATCCCTTACCTTGTCCTCTATTCCTATACAAAAAATTCACTTTTCTAAAACAACCAGGCAGCCACCAAGGGTCAGGCCAGCCACCCTGCTCCTCTGCAGCCCAGGCTTGGTGGCTTTTTTCTCAGCCTACGGGCCTCAGAGTCCATGTCCTCACTTCCAGAGATCATTGACTCAGCCTGGTGGGATGCCATGCACCCTATTTCCCAAAGCCCTGGTGGTCCCATTCTCACCAGTTCTGAGCATCCTGTGGTCATAAAGATCTGTGTCCCCAGTGCCCAGTACAGAGCCTGGCATGTAAGTGCTTAGCCAGTTTTGACAACTCCATGTCCCCCCTGGCTTCAGGACTATCTCAGGCCATTGGAGACTACAGTGCCAAGGTGGAAGGTGGGGCCAGCCTGTGCCTTGTTTCCTGACAGCAATCCAGGCCTGTGACAAGTCTTCATCTCAAGGTTGCCTGGTAACAGCTTTTTCATTCTGATGAAAAAACAAATGTAGCAGCACCAGACAGCAGACCTAGGGCTGTGTAAAGGGTTGGGCATCCAGGCTGGGGCATGGGCTGGGGAAGGGAAGGGGTGGACAGAGTTAGCATGGCATCCTGCCCCATTATCTGATTCCAATTTAGTGGGTAGTATCAGGGCTGGCCCCAGCAAGGCCCAGTGGGCTTCACTGAGTGTGGTACACTTGGTGGGCAGGTGAGCCAGCCCAGGCCTGCATCTTCCCCCTCCTACCCCCTTCCCTACACCTGCAGCTGGCGGCTTCTACCCTGTGAGCCACAGCCGGTGCCACCTCTCATTAGGTGATGATTTTACATTAATTACCTTAATTAAGCGGGCGCTGAGTACTAATGGCTTGAGAGGGGGGTGGCTGTTTCTAATTGCCCTTCCATTCAGCCCAGAATGATGGCCCAGGGCTTGCAGAATGGCAGCAAACAGTTGCAAAAAGGAGGAACCCAGCAAGGGTAGGAGAGGCCCTTTCCCCCCGGCCTGGCTCACACCTGGGCCTGAGTTCCCCAGGGGTGGATGGCTGGAGGCACTTCCCCAGGTCATGCCACTGGCTTACAGGGAGTTGTGATGGGTGGGGAAGTGGGGTGGGAGGTGATTGGTGAGAGGTTTCCCTGCTTCTCAGACTCTTGCCCTGCTCCTCCCTACAGCTGCTCAGGCCCAGTGCACAGTCCTTCAGCGGGGCACAAGGTTCCCTTCTCCACCTATATCAGTCTCCAGGACCCAGGTCAAATGTCTACTTTGCCTCCCTTCCTCCATCCTAATCTTGGGCCCTGTACTGCAAGGCTTCCCTCAGGAAGCTCACAAACTGATTGAGGACGTGGACAGCTAAAAACAGCCACAGAAGGCAGTGATGAAGACCAAGATGGAGGGTGATGCCCAAGGCTTTAGGGATCAGGAGAGAATGACAGAGTAATGCCCGGATTGAGTCCTAAGGGAAGGGGTGTTAAGATGACTCTTTCACGCAGAGAGACCAGCATATGTGATTGAGACATGAGGGGAAAGAAAGTCTGGCCCATTGAGTCAGCTGTACGCTATTCAGTGCACAGGGGTTGTTACGTCTCCCAAAGACTCATCTATTGAGGGCTTGATCCCTAATGCAGCAATGTTCAGAGATGGGGTCTAGAGAAGTGACTGGATCAGAAGGTTCTAACTTCACCGGTGGATTCATTGATGGATTCATAATTTGATGGTACTGTTGGGAAGTGATGGAAACAGGAGGTGGGGCCTAGTTGAAGGGAGCAGATCATAAGGGCGTGAGCTTGGGAACTGTATCTGGTCCCTAGCCATTTTCTCTCTGGCTCTTTCCCTCCTTCTCTGCTTCCTGGCTAACATGAGGTGAGCAGCTTTCCCCTGCCATGCCCTTCTGCCTTACTATGGCTTAAAAGTAATAGAGCCAGTTGACCACAAACTGAAACCTCTGAGCTCATGAGCCAAAATAAATCTTCCCTCTTTTATTTATTTATTTTTTGGTACTGGGGATCGAACTCGGGTCCTTGTGCTTGCAAGGCAGGTGATGGAACCACTGAGCTAAGTCCCTGGCCCAAATCTTCCCTCTTTTAAGTTGTTTTCCTCAGGTATTTGGTCACAGGCACAAAAAGCTGACTAACATAGGGGAGTAGACAACAAAGGAAGAAAACAGCAAGAGATGGGCCAGAGGAATGGCCCTGACTCAGAGGCCCTGGGGAAGTACGGGGTTGGGGAGCAGGAGTGATTTCATCTGAGAAAACTGACTGCAGTGAGGGTGAAGAGGAACAGCAGGGAGCACATGTGGATGGGCAGGTGACTGATGAGGCGGCCGCTGCCTCCCTGGGGAAAGGTGAGTGGGGCTGGATCGTGTGGTGGTTGTGATGGGAGATAAGGATAGGGGGAGAGAAGTGGGCAGATGGGAGAGTTGTGGAGCGTCGTGGTGCCAGACCCTGGTGATGAGTCGATAGGGTCATGAGAAGAGTGAGAAGGAAGGGCCAAGGTGACTCCACGCTACCCAGCTCCAGGGATGTCACTGCTCGTCAACATGGCAGCTCTACTCCAAGTTTCTGACCTGGACAGAGTGGAATGACAAGCAGGTTGGGGGAAACAAAGATTTGGATTATTGAAGGCTGAGAGGCCTGTGGGATATCTATGAGCGCTTTAGGCTCAGGCCTGGGGCTTCCAAGAAAGAGCCTTACTCCTGAGGAAGGCATGAGAAGGTTTAAGAGGCTGGGAGCAGATCCGGCTCACCTACAAGCTAATCATCTCTCTGACTGTGTGCAGCACAGGGCTTGGCCCAGAAGAGACGCTCAGGATGACTTGCTCAAGGAATAGATGAGTTTAATGGAGGAATGAGGCTCCGTGGCTCTCTCAGGCCCAACCAGTAGCCCTATGTTTTGTCCACTCAGTCACATAGTCAGACACAGTGCTCACACTAGAGACTAGGTGATTTACCCAGCCTTCTGCCTAGCCAAAGTGAAAGCCCCCTCCTGAGGCTCTTCTAAGCCCCCAGTCAATCCTGTGAGGGCAGAGGGTGGCACAGTTTCTCCTCCTGCCACTCTCTCAGGGCATTGCTGGGCAGAAGCAGTAGCCTTTCCCACTCTCCAGTACACAGGACAGAATCCAAGCGTGTTTTAGGCCTCTCTCCCAGTCTTGGCCCTAGGTGCTGCCCACTCAGCTAATGCCCTTAGACATCTCCTCTTCTATAGCAGGTGCCTTTCTGGAAAAAGATAACACACCAGCCCCAGCCTTGCCCTTTCCCGATCCAAAGATCCAAATCACTCACCTTGATCTCCACACCATAGCCAGGGTACACAGAGATGTAGTAGAAACAGTCCAGGCCGACATCAGAGGGTGAGCTGTGGGCTTGGGGGGAGTCCAGAGAGCCCTCTGGGCCAGAAAAATTCCAACTACAAGGGCCTGGGAGGCAGGAGGAAACACAAGGCTAAACCCAATTCTGGTGAACGGAGGCCAGCTAAGGTTGAACTGTGTGTGTATGCTTGTGCATATATGAGGTGAAGCCCATCTCTGGGGAGTCCCCTGTTTATTTCCCTGTTGAAAGAAGGGGCATCTTTTACTATGTGCAATCTTATCTCAGTTCTCAGAATGGCTCAGTAAAATGGGCTTTTTTTTTTCTCACCATTTTACAGTTAAGGCTCAGAGAGGTTAAATAAAATTCCTAGGGTTGTGTTATATTTGGGAGAATGAGGATTTTAACCCAGTTCTATCTAGTTCCAAACCACTTGCCTCCCACAGGACTTTCTTGGTGCCAAAAGGAGGGCAGGAAAAGCAGAGAAATTAATATATCATGTTCAGGTACAAATTTTCTATAATGAATGTGATCACTATGCATACCTAAAGTATACCAATAAACTCAATTAATAAAAAAAAGGGAGGGTGGGTTGGCACAGTACTAGAGACACAGGCATGTAGGGACCCCGCAGCTCCCACCATCCCCACTTCCAGATCCACAAGCCAGCAGGAAGCTGACCTGGCGGCTGAACTGTGGTGATGGTGGTGGTAATGATGGTGATGGTGGTTGTGGTCTCCTCGTCATCTCCAGAAGCTGTGGAGGTGGCAATGGTGCCCTCAGTCCCACGCCCTGTAGTCTGGGACATGGCCTCTGGAGCCCATGGCCTGCCCATATCTCCAGGGCCCTCCTGGGTTGGAGTCCAGGCTCTACTGGGGGGTGTGGTACTAGGTCTCTCCCCTGGGTATAGGGTGGGCACTGCAAGGCTAGGCCCTGGAGGTAGAGGGGCTGTGATACGAAGCAAAGGGAGCTCTGACTCTAGGCTCCAAGGTCCCTCCCTGGGCTGGGGCTGTGTGGGTGCTGCAGCTATGGCAGGAGTGGGGCTGGTAAAGATGGGGCGGCTGTCCTGATTGGCCAGGCGAGGGAGGGGGCTTGGGGTGAACGGTGTAGGTGGGTCAGGCTGGAAGGGCAGTGCAGGTTTCAGCTCCTCCTCGCCTGTCTCCAGCCCCTCTTGAAGGAATTCTTCTAGCAGTGGATGATGGTTGAGCAGCTTCAGGGTGGGGGCTGTTGTGACGAAGTGGACACCTCGCTCTGGCTGCTCAGGTGTGGGGGCCACTGTCAATTCCCCAGCGATCTCCTTGATGCCTGTGGCTTGTCCTTCCCCAATGGTTGGGGCCTCTGAGGAGAGTCCTGAAATAATAATGAAGAATCAGATGTTATCCTGCTATACCATAGTGAACAGCATCCTACTAAGGTAGTAGATATATCTATGTTTTGACAGAGATCCTTGGAGAGTGAGCTCATTGTTGAGAATCATGGAGCAATAAAATTTTAGAGCTGGAATTGAGATGATATCACATACTTCAAGGATGGCACATGAGCTATCTTTTCTCCTCTAGCATCAGAGACAGACATTATTAATCGATCATTGCACTACTTCCTGCTGTTCTCAGATTCAGTCTTGGAGGCTTCATTCAACACAGCACTCCAGGCAGCCATGACATGACAAATATTTGCCATCCTCAATGCAGCCAAAGGCTTTATTTTACTAATGAGGAAATGGGCCAAAAAAGGAAATGACTTGCACAAAGTCACATGACCCACTGAACACAGGAAATGACAACCTTAATAAGAATGCTATCTGCCAGGTACAGTAGTACATGCCTGTAATTCCAGCACTTTAGGAGTCTGAGGCTGGAAGACCACAAATTGGGAGTCCAGCCTGAGCAATTTAGTGATTTACCAAGACCCTGTCTCAACATAAAAACAACAACAACAACAAACCCTAGGATGTAATTGTGTAACTGCTATCTTCCACAACAATGATTTTTCTGCCTGATATTTTAGGCAGAATTCAAATATATTTCCTCTTCTCAGTGGAATTGCTAGTCATTAGTCTTAGGAACTATTTCCCATATTTAAACTTCATCTTTTTTTTTAATGGCATTGCAGATCAAATTCAGGGCCTTTACCCTGATTTACACTCCACTTTTAAAATTTTATCTTTTATTTAGAGACAGCATTTTGCTATGTAATCCAGGCTTTGTCTGAACTCACTATGTCCTAGGTTGCCCTCAAATTCGAGATCCTCCAGTCTCAGCCTCTTGAGTACTGGGATTAAGGTGTGTGCCATTATACCCAGTTTTCTCTGGATCTCTAAAGAGCAAAGATGTACTTTCCTACCGGCCTTCAGTAATTCCAACCCAGTGCCTGTAATCTAAGCATTCTTGGAGGCTGAGGCAAGAGGATCACATATTAGAGCCCAGCTGGGCAATTTAGCAAGACCCTCTCTCCCATCCCCCCAGAAAAATTTAAAAAGAACCAGGGATATAGCTCAGTGGGAAGTGGGAAGGGCCTGGGTTCAATCACAGTACCTCAACAGCAACAAAACAAAATACATTAAAATTCATTACTAGGCAAGTGCCACCACACCCAGCTGAGATTTTATTTGAGATTTCCTCATAGACGCATAACTTCTTTGTTAGGATCTCATTTCTTTTTTTCTTTTTTCTTTTTTTGTACTCAGGACTTTGCACTTGCCAGGCAGGCAAGGTGACACTGAGCTAAATCCCTAGCCCCACGTTTTTTTGAGATAAGGTTTTGCCATATACTCCAGGCTGGCCTTGATCTCACTATGTAGCTCAGGCTGGCCTTGAACTTGTGGTGATCCTCTGGTCTCAGCCTCCTGAGTGCTGGGATTACAGGTGTACACCCAATAAAGACCCAGCTATGAGATCCCATTTCTATTACTTCTCAGAAAGTCATTCTTTCCCCTCTTTCTTGATTTTATGGTCCTTCCACAACAGTAATGTGAGTAGAGCAGTGAGAGCCAAGAGCTGGGCAGATGAAGCTTCAGTTCCCAGATCCATCACTCTGTGTCCTTGAGCAAGTAGCCTAAACTCCCTAAGCCTTAGTTTTCTCATCTGGGACTTCTTCTTTTATGGTTGACCAAGATAATGCTACTTCCTTTCCCCATTCACTGTCTCCCTGAATTCCCTTTCATCTTTCTTATGACACTAGTCAGGGACCTTCTAGGACAGGATCTGAAACAGGGATGGAATGGACATCTGGCATGCTGCCCCCCCCCTTCATGGTAGACATTGCTGATCAGTTTTGGTTATTTCTTTTTGAGGCCACATGGGATGTCAGAATCGTTCTCAACATGGTTATCCAGGTAGCCACTACCAATCAATTAGCCTAAGAAGAAGCTTATTTGCTATCTTTGGTCAGAGGTGCAGATTGCTCTACTATTGATTATGTTGACTTATTCAACCACATAACTGGAGAGATAATACATATTCTGCACATGGCCCACTAGGATCTCTAAATCCTTAACTGCCATGAAAAGGTCAATAGATGCTGGCTCCAGATTAAGTTCATCCAGAATTGTGTCAACTCTGAGAAGGCTGGGAGGCTATCCTGATTCCTATTGTCTTCAAAATGGCTGCATAAGGAGTTGAAAGGAAGTATAGCTAGGGTGAGAGAACAGTTTGCAAGAAGAAGGTCGGTTTTTCTGCATGTCTGGTGGTGGAGCCGTCATTCCATAGGCTCACAACCACCCCATGGATTGGCAGGTGTGAGGAAGTGCCAGATGGCCTACATTCTGTTCAGGAGACCAGAGCAGCTATGATGTGTCAGACAAATGGGAGGAGGGAGGAAATTGGGGTGAAGGAGACAGGTACAGGTTGGAGTACTCTCCATTCCCCTGGATCAGTGAAGCCTGGGCAACCCAAAGCCTTGAGAAACCAGGACTATTTGCTATCTGCTGTGATGCTCACTAAAGTAGCCCATCTGTACCCTGACATTCCATGCCAGGCTCTGATATCAGTGTCCAAACTAGATGCCTGGCCAGGCTCATACTCCCCAGAGCAGATGGTCTGACACTGCCCAGTGTCTTTCATCTGAATCAGTGATGGAGGATCCAGGCAGTGCCTGTGATGTGCCAGGACAGAGGTACTCTCTTTGCCCACCCCCCAGATGTCACCCAGTCTTTGCCAAGTGAGCTGAGACTGGTTTAAGCATGACACAGGAAGAAGAGCCTTTCTCATCACATACACTGGAGCCCCTGAAGCTGTACATGGCTTGTGGGTCCCTGCCAGGACTGCCCAACAAGTGATACGGCCCACAGCTCCCAGGGTCGGTACCAGTTGGGACTCTATTGGGAGAGAAAGTACACAGAGATCATTTGACTTGGGAAGTGACCAGAGCGGGTGGGCACACTCTCCTGCCATCAGCCAGGTGGGTGCTGGGTAATAGAGCGGAGCTAATGGGTACCTCCCATCACTGTCATTGCACTGATCATGTTATCTAGGGGGACTGAGCACTTGGTTAAATGGGATAGAGATAGTATATCAAGCTAGCAAATTGATTCCAAAATCAGCTTCTACTTGGTTCCCACAGGGTGCCACCCACTGTCAAAGAGGGTAAGATAATCTCTGGGAGATAAGCATTTCTGAGGGAGGGTATCTCCAGACACTCTGGCTGTCAGAGGTTGAACCTCCGTGACGCGCCCCTTAGGTTTCCAAGGTCAAGCCAGGGAGTTCAGGGGCTGTTCTCAGCCTGGCTGACTTGAGTTGAAGATCAGGGACTGACAAAGGGGCAGAGTGTGATACAGGAACCAGCAGAAGGAGGTCCCGGGGGGCCCAGATACCCAGTCTCATCAGGCACCTGCTGTGTCAGGCCTAATCTAGACCTCATATTATTTAATAATGAAACTCTGTGAGATAGAAATCTTCTTGCTTTCCAAAGGACCTGGAGTCTGGAGGAGAGGTAAGAGGAGTTCATGCTTAAAGTCTTACAGTGCTGGAGCAGAGTTCAACCTATGTCCATCTAGCTTCAAGCCCCCAGTCTTTCCAGCCAGCCTGCTTCATGGCACGAAGAGACTGGAGCTGCCCAGCTGAGAACATCCCAGCCAGTTAAGGAGACCATGGTGCAGAGCAAGAATGGACTCATCCAAGGTCTCTGCAGGTTAGAAGTGGAGCTGGCAGTAGAGCTGGGCTGAACCAGACCCTCAGGAAGCAATTTGCCAGAGACTCAGAGAGCCCCTACTCCATGCCGAAGCACATCTGAATCTGGACCCCAGACTAGAGCCCCAACACTACTTCACAGAGCCAGGGCACACAGCCACGTAGACCTGGATTCAAATGTGAGCTCTGCCACTTAAAATCATAGGAGTCTGGGCCAGTCACCTCTCAGAGGCTTTGCCTCCTCTGAATGACCATGTTTGTGACCCTGATCATATGTCATCTATAAAACAAGGATGATCCTTCACCTAGGCAGCCACTCCTGCATGCCTGTGTGGGACAAAGGTGTGTCCCACAAAACAGATTCCCATGATCCATCTGCCCCTTCTGCTGGGGCCTGCACCCAAAGATACTCCAGGGCCACTCTGTCCTCCCCTACTGCAGGCTTGGGATCAGCATCTTCCAGGTGGGGAGCTTCTGGGAAACTCCATTAGGTGCCCCCCTCCACCCCCCTCTTGGTGGAGGTCGCCCAAGAGCTTCCCCGCAGCCCCCAGCCCTGGTGTGGCCCGCCACTGCCCGGGCCCTCCCCCCGCATTAGCTCTTAAGCTATGCAAATAGACATCGGAGGGAGCCCTGTTTAAAGTATTTAGACGAAATGAAAAAAGGCTTTCATCGGCACTAATGAGCCATTCAGGATGCCTCCCCGGTGGATTCTCTCCCGCTCCCGCCTCCCGGCCCCTCGCCTCCCCCGTTGCCTCTCTTGGGATTGGAGGCCCCGCCCCCAGCCCCAGACTGGGCCTCCTAGGGAGGGCTGCCTACCCTGCCCCCTCCTCCCCAGCGCCCAGCTGGACGAGGGTACAAATGAGGGTCTCTGTGCCACCTCATCATCAGCAGTTCTGGATCCTGATGGGGTGAGGGGCCAGACTCTGCTTAGGGAAAGCCATAAGGAGGAGGCATCTTCTACATTCAGCTAGGTAGGTGTTATGGTCTCTGTCTTACAGATGGGTAAACTGAGGCTCAGAGAGGCCCAAGACATGGAGCTGAAGTCACTAAGCAGTGCCCCAGGCTGTTGGATCTGCTGTCCCAGGCAATAGCACTGCCCCAGAACTATATCTCAGTGCCATTGTTTCTGTAGATCTCTTGTACTAGCCAGCCAGAAAGCCTAGGATTCCAACTCCAAATCTATGCTTCACGGGCATGTGACCTGTCTCCTCACCTGTGAAGCGA